TCAGAAGCGCGTGGGAGGAACAAGAGGATGAGACTGGCACCTCCCTGAGGAATTCACACTGTTGTGGCTGGCGGACTTTTGGTACTGGGGGTTTTCTCTGGGAAGATTGTTGTTAGAGGCTGTAGCTAATAAACATAGCTGGACTGAATTGGCATTGTCTCTTGGAGTTCCTTGGGCTAGGCCTGACAGGTACCCACTGAATGCAGAAGGGCTTTGGCCAAACTGGCCTTTGAAGCTAAACTTCTCCCACCCACCTCCCAGGCCAGGACAGAGCCTGCTAGGGCTCATGGGGCCTTAGAGGGCCAAGGCGCTGCTCAGTGCCAGATCCATTCAAGCATCTTTGACAGATGACCATCCAACCTCTCTGGGCAATGGAAAATTCCTCCTTCCTTGTGTCAGCCCTTTAGATATTTGAAGACTATTATAATATTTGCCCTCTGTCATCTTTTCTGTAGATCCTTTTAATTATTCCTCATAGGGTTTGGTTTCTGGACACCTCACCGTCTTGGTAGCCGTCCTCTGAATTTATTCCAATTTGTCACTGTGCTTTGCAAACTGTGGTACCCAAAACTGGACACAGAAATCCAAGTGGGTTCTGACCAGGGTAGAATAGAGGAGAATGCTTACTTTCCATGATCTGGATTCTGCGCTCCTGTTAATGCGCTCCAGTAAAACTTTAAGCTTTTAAGCAGCTGCATCACACTGTTCATGTTTAAATTATGGTTTACAAGATCTTTTGAAGGCACTAGCAGAGGTGATCTCAGAACCTCCAATTGTCATCTTTGAAAACTTCTGGAGACCTAGTGAGGTCCCAGGAGACTGGAGAAGAGCAAACACAGTCCCAGTATTCATAAAGGAGAAAAGGGAGGATCTGACAAACCACAGATGAGTTAATTTAATATCTATACTGGGCAAGGGACTAGGACAGATGGTGGAGCAACAGGTCTGCAGGCACTTAGAAGAATGCCAACACTTGTTAAGAACAAATAATTTAGGCTAATCTGTCTTTATGTCAGAGTGATTAGTTTGGTAGATCAAGGGAACACTCTGGATGTAATATATCTTCATCTCTGTAAAGCATTTGACAAGGTTTCCCCTGTAGACAAGATGCATAAATACGGGCTAGAGAATGATGTAGTCCAGTGTGTTTGCAACTGGTTGAGTAACTGCACCCAAAGGGGGTTCCTAAATGGTTGTGCATCATCTTGGAGAGATTTATCAAGTCCCTCAGGACTATGTCCTTGGCCTACCACTATTCAACATCTAGTAGGTGGAATGGAGAGGATGCTTAGATGACACCAAGCTAGGGGGACTGGGTAATACTTAGAAAACAAAACCTCAACTCATTTCCAAAGCACCTCAGGAGACTTGAATATTGGGCCAGATCCAACAGGATGCCTTTCAGCAGTGCACCAGCTATGAAAAATCAAATCCTAGGTATAGGGTGTAGAGATCTGTCTTGATAGCAGTGCACATGAGAAAGATCTCGGGATCCTGATGGACCACATCTGGCCTTGTGCAAGCAGCATTGATCCAGATCTTGGAAGGAGACAGTTTCCTTGTAATCCACCCTGAATGGACCACAGGTGGACTCCAGCATCCAGTTGGGGGCACTGCCCTTTTAAAAGGGACATGGAAAGGCTGGAGTGCATTCAGATGTGCTTCCAAGATGATCAGGGGCCTGGAAATGAAGCCCTTTGGAGACCTGTTGAAGGGACTGGGCAGGTTTAGCTGACCAAGGGGAAGAGGTGATGGGGGCAGCTACATATCTAAAAGGCTGTCATGTTTTTGTAGCAAAATTTGAATTAAATACACAATGACTGGAGTTAAATGCACAATGGTTCAAGTTCATTATACAATGCTGCTTATACAGTATTATACTATCATACTTTTCCAGCTTACGTACAAATTTGACTTATGGGAACGGAACTCATTCTTAAACTGAGGACTCCCCATAACAGAGATTCAGGCTAAATATGAGGAAGCCATTCTGGGTGATAAGGGTTGTTAAGCAGCGTCTCAGTCGGCCTCTCCTTCCCTGGTGGGTCTCAAATGGGGCTGGGCGAGTCACTTGTTGGAGATGGTTTAGTTAGTTCTTGCGGTCAGGTTTCTCTTGGCGCATACTGGAATACACTAATTCAAGGACCCAGGTCTCTGATAAGCACACCATTAAGAGAGAATTCTAGCAACTGCACTGTCTCAAATGCAAGCTCTGTTTATAGTAGCATCTGGGTTCAGTTTTCGCATCTTTTTCTCCCACCTGTATCGTGCGACAGGCTAGAGACCTCACAGTTTGGGGCAGGATGAACGGTTGCCACCTGCCCACTCTTATGGACGCGTAATTGTCTGGTTTCAGCCTGTTGGCTTCTGATCTCGCTAGTACTGGCTCTCACGTGCACTGAGCCGAGAGGTGAATTAAGTGACCCTTCTGATTCATACCTCCTGATTCTGTGATTCTGTACCCGGTTCCCTCATTGTAAAAGTTAGCACCCGGTCTCCCAATCACCTTTACTGCCTTTCTCTGAACCCATTCCAGTTTTAATCTGAATGTTTCTTAAAGTGTGGCGTTCAAAACTGGACGCAACAATTCTGCTTCTGATGGACAAAATGTGGGGTGTACTTCTACCCGTGCACTTGCACCCATGAGTTTGACCTTGCCCAGATTCCAGATGTCTTGAATTTGCTGTAGATTGTGGAACCGACAACCTAAATTTTTCCCTGCAGCTTACCAGTACCAGCTGGCACTAGAACGCTACGAATGGAACGAGGTGAAGAACGTGAAGTCCATCGTGCCAATGATCCACGTCTCCTGGAATGTCGCTCGCACAGTCAAGATCAGTGACTCTGACTTGTACAAAATGATCAAGTGAGTTGGCTTTGCCCTTCCTCTGGCCTGTGTGCAGTATGACCCAAACTGGCCTTCTCTGTGCTGATACTCCCCTGGCGCATTGAGACTCTGGACCTAGCACTTTGGGGGCATCGGCTTGGAAGGTGGATCCATAGCCTGTCTTGTTTCTCCCTCCTTGAAGCATCTTCTGGAGGTGAAAATACGTCTGAGATTGCTCCTAGAGATGCATAATATGACCACCACCTTGGGGAAGCAGGCTGGAAGCCTGGGAGCAGCCCAGCTGCGTGTCTGGACTCACCACTCCTCCTTTCTTTAGGTACTGCCTGATGCAGTCCATCAAGCACTGCCAGGTCCAGCGTGAGAGTCTTGTCCGATCAGGGAAGAAGATTGCTTACCAGGGAAGGGTAAAGGATGAGCCAGCCTACTACTGCAACGAATGTGACGTAAGCTCCCACCTTCTGGTCTGAGTATGTCTGCTACAGGGGCTGCAGATTGAATGTGTTGGACGAAAGCTCCCCGCTTGTTCTCGGAGTTTGTTTGGAGGATGGCTGTTGGGTTTCGGTCGGCTCTAGAGGGTGATGGTTCCCCCTCTCTTCCTCTGTTCTCAGCTGCTCCTTTTCTGCAGCTGATGCCGGGCCAGAGTAGGTTGGTTCCCAACTGGTGCCTGTTCTGGGACCAAATGTCCAGATCAGTCTATTTCTCTGCAGTTTGGCCACGAGTGAGCCTCGGCCTCCTCCCTTCACACCCACCTGCTGTTAGTGCCTAACCTTAGAAATCATATTTCCAGCGGGCCTTCCAGGGCCTGCCTGGTAGGATGTGAGGGCCGGTTCTCCTGGACCATCGACGTGTTGCCTCTGAGACAGATCAATAGATCGATTTAGTCATCCCATTTCCCCAAAGGGGCCCAGTGAAGGCTTCTGACACCAGCTCTTTGCGGGTGCAAGGGTTTGTGAGGGCTCTTTGTCTTTAAAACACCTTCAGTGCCTCCTATCCCATCTCCAGTAAGGGATTTTTGCCCCTCCTTGTGCCTGACAGTGGCTGAGAAGTGGAACCGTAGTGAGGTGGAAGGATCAAAAACAGTGAGTGTGATGCGTGTGTTTTTATAAGAGGAGAAGAAAAGGAAGATGAAGAAACAGCAAGAACCTGGAGCCTGGAAGAAAAGCCTTGGTCAGCATTGCTGTGACCAGGAAAAGAAGGCTGGGCCAATGCCAGTCTGGAAGTGGAGGGACTGCTGGGAAGATGAGAAGCTTCATCAGGAAGCGTTTGGAGTGTGTGTGGAAGCCATCTCAACACCGCTAAATGAGCGAGGAAGAGGACTCTGAGTGGCAGCTGTCTCGAAGAGGCTTGAGAATCATTGGCAGAGTTTCTCTGGCCCGAGAGGGAGAGAAATGGAGCAAGCCCCGTGCAAGACTAAGGGTTCTGCAGCATGGAGGAAGCCGCATGGGTGAAAGAAAGGCTCGGCTTGGCCAGGGAAGGGTCTCTCGGTTGACCAGGAGCAACTCAGCCAAGGAGGCAGGTTTTCCGCTGGGCTGCTTAAGAGGAGCAGGGCCCCCTTAGGCTCGCAGTCCAAAAGGTCCGAGGTGTGGAAGGTCTGGAATTCCAAACTTGGATCCAGGCAAGACGTTAACAGTTTGCCAAGTTGATTCAGTGCCACTAGAAGGGCAGTTTCTTCCCCAAACAAGTCGAGGCTGGGCGGAATTGTGTGGCACTGTTAACCCAAGGGGAGTGCAGGTGGCCCAGAGGAGGCTTTGCCTGGAAGAGTTCAAAATGCGGGAGATCCTGTATTGGTTGGTTCCCAGACAGATAAAGATTCAGATGTACATCAACAGGTAGCTGGAAGCTTTCCTGTTATCAGCAAAGAGACCTGCCTCCTTGCTGGTTCATTAGATGGTGATCAGAAAGAAAATCAGAGTCTCTGTTGTACGTGGGGATACGTTGGTTCTGAACAGGAACTGGTTCAGTTGCTGGAATTCTTGTGACCCCATCCCTTTCATCTCAATAAATCTCGCCAAAGAGAAAATCATTCTTGGAAAGAATAATTTTCCATTTTTGGCATCTGCTCAAAGATGCTTTCCTTCAGCTGCTGAATTAGCTGTTCTACCTTAGAGACTTTGTACAGAAAGAATTGGGCAAGATCCTGGAGGAAGTCACCCTCATCGCATCTGCAAAATGCTAGCCGGCTGCGCTCTTTAGAGTGTCCTTTTAGGGAAGGATGGGCCAGAAGAATGAATTACTGTGAATTGCTGTTGTCTAGCCAACCGTTTCACAGATAACATGGTCCGTATTTGCTCCAAGTTGGAATCTGGATGGACAGAATCTATATTGAGATGATAGGGGTCACACCTTGTGATGTTACCTGGAACAATTTTGAGCCTGTGGATCTTGAGGACATGGGCAGTGTTTTCTGTGACTTTCTCTCTGCCCCCTGAATGTCGGACCCCTGCCCTACCTGGCCAGGAAGAGGACCAAGGGTAGATCCAGGCTACAGTAAAAGGGATGATCTGATTTGCTGTCTCCTCAAGGATCCCAGCCTCAGTCCAATGGATATGAACAGCTTCTGCCCAACCTCCCCTTCTTGGGGAAGGTTGTAGAGAAAGTGGTGGGGGTACAGTTACTAAAGGTTCTGGAGGAGACAGATCATCAAGTCAGCCTGAATTCAGGCTCAGCCCTGGGAGAGAAACTGCATGCTGCTTTTGTGGACCGCCTGTGGTGAGACCTGGAGGGAGGGACTGGACCATACCTGTCCTCTTCCTTCTCTTCTCTGTCTTTGCTTTTGTTGACCGCAATATCCACCTGCAATGGGAATTGCACACTGTTTCACTGTGGTTCCACTCCTATCTAAGAGGGCAGGGAGGAGAGCTTGGGTCATCAGATGATCCCTTATGGAGCATGGCAGGGCTTGGTCCCCTTCCCTGTTCTGTTCAATAGGTACCTGAAACCGCTGGGAGAGGTGATTGGTCGGTTTGGGGTGTATCACCAGTGCATCTCCACTCTGAGCCAGGTGGGAGACAACCTCCTGGCCCAGTGCCTGGAGGCTGTCTGGATGGGAGAAACAGGATGGAAGGCTGCTAATTCAGAAGCCTCCTATCTCCAGGATGGAACCATCTGGGACGCCCAATGGGGTTACAATCTGAGGGTCCTCCTGGACTTGAAGCTCCCGTGAGAGGAGCAGGTGGAGGTCAGGGCCGGTTGCAGTCTCACCTGGGGCAGGATGCCCTGAGGACGGTCATTCCTGCCTTCATTTTGACTTGCTCTGCAAGGGGCTGTCCTTGAAGACCGCCCAGAAAATTCAGGCCCTGTGCTGCACCATTGATAGAAGACGCACGATACTTAAATATTGTTTACTGTATTATTACTGTTATTGTATTTTGTTACATATATTGTAAACCAGGGTTCCTCAACCTTGGCTGCTTGAAGAAGGGGGGGCTCCAACTCCCCTGGCTGGCTGGGGGAATTTGGGGGGTGGGGGTCACCCCACTTCAAACG